CATATTGAAAGCAATGGTGAATATTCGGACACTCCCAAATGGATGCCGACTACATCAGGGAGATTCTCAGTAACTACTGCATGGCAATTAATGAGGCACAGAAGAGCCCCCACAATGCCGGAATATAAGAAACTATGGACTAGAGGATTGCCCTTCAAAATATCTTTCTTTATGTGGCGATTATGGAAAAGAAAAATACCAATAAATGACATGTGGATAAGGTACGGATACCTGGTGGTATCAAAATGTAGGAGTTGTTAAACCTCAGAAAGACACGTTGCAATATCTTTTCCTAACAAGTTCAACAACAGATAGAGTGTAGATATCATTCGGGTAGGCAGCAAGCATAATAGATAACATAGTGTAGGTTGATCAAGTGATAAAACTTGGTGGAATGCGGACTGCTGTCCAAAACTAAAACCCTTGTTCCAGGCAGCCCCGACGGTGATAACTTGGGAACATTGGAAGACGATAAACACCAGGAAATATGGAGGAACAGTATCGTACAAAAGGGTAATTCATGAGGTGAATGAGACATTGCATAATTTAGCAAAGAAAAGATATCCCTAGCTAACAAACATATCTTTCTATGGACATACATAATTGCATTTGTTGAAAGGAACAAACCATATGTGGTAACCAAGAGAGTTGCATGGCAGTTACCCTATGAAGAATGGTTCAAATGTAACATAGAAGGAGCCTCAAGAGGCAATCTTGGACAAAGCTCCTGTGATTTTGTGTGAGGAATTGGACAGGTGATTTGGTTTTTGCTAGGGCAGAAAAGATTGAAGATACCACTAATATTGTTATATGCGGTAAAATCGTAGGGTCCAATTTTCGGCCATTACAACGCCTCGTAAGCAAGATCTCCAAAGGCTCGAGACTACGGTCGAGATTTACCCTGAGGGGCCATCGATGTCCAACCTCGAGACAGTGCAAGTCGACAGATATGATAAAAAAGTGAGAAGTTCCCTAGGCGCACGATTAGAGCTGACAAAGTCTAGTAGTCTAGCTTTGACCCATATCAGGGCATCAAATTGCTGTACCAGCCCCATATCTTTGTAATTATTGTATTTGTATTATGTTGGGATTCCCCCCTCATATATAAAGGGGATCCTTGCCATTTTGTAGACTTTTGATACTCAATATTCAATACAAGAACATTCTCTCTGCTCTCTAACTCAACATATTCTCTTGAACTCATTACTTCCATTAACTGCTTATATTCATTGTGTTCTATTTATTGTTCTTTATTTATTGCTGATCATTGATCATAAAGAGCCATCATCGAAGCTCTCATAAAGTGTTAGTCCTCCCTCGATCGTTTTAAGCCGGTCGCCCAACTTGACCCCGAGGACTTATAAACAACAGCTCGAAGCCCCAATCTCCAACTGTTTGGTTCGATTATCATACCGTCTCTAAGCTGCAATCTTGATTTCTAGTCTTTTACTTAGCATCCATTGCTTAACAACTAGCATAAAAATAGATCACGTATTATTAGAACCACAAAATCAAATTTAATTGTAATTACCCTTTTCACGGTAAATAGTTTGGCGCCCACCGTGAGGTTAAAAATAATAGTGATTAATTTCTTGCTGGTTTGCTACGTAACCAATTTATCTTTCAAAACTTTTCTTGTCCAAGATCCTCAATTTGAGGTCAAGATGCCTACACTAGTGGATGTGCCTAAAAATAACAGCCTCAGAGACTGTGGAAAGGGCGGTATGGTTATTCAAGGCATGGATGTGCCACCGCAAAACCCTGAGAGCACACCGGAACCGATTCCCGAGGATGCGACCTCATGCAACGCCCTATACATTAACGCCGGTCCTCACATTAACAAGAGCACAAACCGAGAGATTCAGCAGGAAACTTGTAAAAATCCGACCTGGGCGAAAAGAGAGATTCCTCAGCATGTCATCCATATGATCATCGGAGGTACCAACATACCCCAAGGACCCGTGATCAAACGGATAAAAATATCCACTGCAATAGAAGGGCCGATCTGAGATCGCGTGACCGAAAACACCCTTGCATTCAGCAAGGAAGATTTTGACACCTTGACGCAACCGCACAACGAAGCACTGGTAATTTCATTTCTCTTAAGTAACATTCGAATTAAACGTGTGCTCGTGGATCCAGGTGGCTCGGCCAACATAATCAGGTCAGGGGTAGTAGAACGGCTTGGGTTGCTCGACCAGATCGTACCCGCCTCCCAGGTCCTCCACGACATCAACATGGCCGGCGAGGTAAAAAAAGGGGAGATCGCCCTCCCGGTTGACATGTCCGGTACAGTTCAGAACACCAAGTTCCACGTCATCGGCGTTGACATGAGGTACAACGCATTGCTTGGCAGGCCATGGATACACAACATAAGGGCAGTACCGTCAACTCTACACCAGATGATGAAGTTTCCGACGAAGGACGGAATAACAACCGTATATGGAGAACAACATGCAGCAAAATAAATGTTCGCGGTTCATCGGGAGGCGTCGAATGCAACACAGTGTACCTCGGATGAGTCGGGAAGTGTACAGACCCCGAGGCTGATGAAGAAGATTTCCTCGCTACTCGAACTTTCGTTGCCCCCGAAGAGTCGGATGCAACGAAATCGACAATTGAAGAGCTGGAGCAAACTGTTTTGATCGAATATCACCCAGATCGGAAGGTATTCCTGGGAACGGGGTTAACCCCCGAACTCAGGAAAAAACTCATTCAATTCCTTATTAATAACATCGACTGTTTCGCTTGGTCCCACTTAGATATAATAGGAATCCCGCCGGAAATAAACACTCATCGACTGAGTGTCGACCCAGATTCAAACCGGTGAAGCAAAAAAGAAGGCCCCAGTGCGAGGTAAAACACGCGTTCATCAAGGACGAGGTAACGAAACTCCTTAAAATAGGGTCTATTAGAGAGGTAAAGTACCCAGAATGGCTGGCCAATGTAGTGGTAGTACCCAAAAAGGGAAATAAGTTAAGAATGTGCGTATATTATAAAGACTTAAATAAGGCGTGCCCCAAGGATTCATTCCCATTACCAAACATCGATTGTCTGATCGATGCCACGGCCGGCCACGAGACCCTCACCTTTCTCGATGCTTACTCGGGTATAATCAAATTCAGATGAACCTATGAACCCCCGGGACAGTGAAAAGGCTTCGTTCATCCCGAAGAATGGTATCTACTGCTACAATGTAATGCCCTTCGGGCTGAAAAACGCAGGGGCTACGTACCAACGTCTAGTTAATAAAATGTTCGAGCATCAAATAGGCAAATCCATGGAAGTTTATATTGATGACATGCTAGTTAAGTCCCTGCGCGCAGAGGACCATTTGACTCATTTGCACGAAACATTCGACATCCTCAAAAGCTACAACATGAAGCTTAACCCCGAAAAATGTGCCTTCGGAGTGGGTTCGGGTAAATTCTTAGGCTTCATGGTGTTTAACAGGGGGATCAAGATCAACCCCGAAAAAATCGAGGCCATCGAAGAAATCACGGTGATAAATAATGTAATGGACGTGCAACGGCTAACAGGGCGGATAGCGGCTTTGGGCAGATTCATATCAAGGTCATCAGACAGGAGTCATCATTTCTTCTCTTTACTCAAAAAGAAAAGCAACTTCGAATGGACTCCAGAATGCCACCACGCGTTGGAGGAATTGAAGCGATATCTGACTAGTCCGCCTTTGCTCCACACACCAAAAGAGGATGAGACGCTGTATTTATACCTGGCCGTATTCGAGATAGCGGTAAGCGGTGTGCTAGTTCGAGAAGAGCGAGGTATGCAATTCCCTGTCTATTGAGTAAGTTGGACTCTGGAGGATGCCGAAACCAAGTATCCGCACCTAGAAAAATTAGCTCTTGCGTTAATAAGCGCATCACGAAAATTGAAACCTTATTTTCAATGCCACCGTCTTTGCGTTTTAACAACATACCCTCTCCGAAGCACATTGAACAAGCCCGAACTATCGCACCGATTGGCCAGATGGCCCATCGAACTCGGGGGGTATGATATCTAGTATCAACCCCGAACGGCTATCAAGTCCCAAATTTTGGCAGACTTCGCGGCCGATTTCTCGCCCTCTCTCGTGCCCGAGGTAGAGAAGGAACTTTTACTAAATGTGGGCACATCTTCTAGGGTGTGGACCATGTTCACTAACGGCGCCTCGAACGTGAAAGGATCCGGACTCGGTATAGTCCTAAAGCCGCCTACGGGTGGCATGATCAGGAAATCTTTAAAAACTGCAAGATTGAGTAACTACGAAGCCGAGTATGAGGCTATGATTGCGGGTCTGGAATGGGCCAAAAGCATGGGAGCTGAGGTCGTCGAAGAAAAATGCGATTCACTCCTGGTAGTAAATTAGGTAAATGGGAGCTTCGAGGTCCGAGAAGACAAGATGCACAGATACTTGGAAAAAATCCAAGTCACATTACGCCGTTTCAAAGAATGGACCCTGGTCCATATACCTCGAGAGTAGAACAGCAAAGCCGATGCCCTCGCTAACCTGGCATCATCTGTTAGAGAAGACGACCTACTCCCCGGGGTTGTTGTTCAACTATCCAAATCAGTGGTCGAGGAAGGTCATGCCGAGATTAATTCCACTAGCCTAACATGGGAATGGAGAAATAAGTATATTGACTATTTGAAAGGTGGGAAACTACCCACGAATCCAAAGGAATCGAGGTCCTTGCGTACCAAAGCAGCCCGATTCTCGCTCGATGAAAGCGGAACTCTTTACAGAAGAACCTTTGATGGCCCTCTAGCAGTATGCCTGGGGCCGGGAGAACCAATTATGTGGTCCGAGAGATCCACGAGGGCACCTGTGGAAATCATTCTGGTGCCGATTCCTTAGTTCGAAAAATAATCAGGGCAGGATACTACTTGGAAAGCATGGAAAAGGACACCAAAGAGTTCGACCGCAAATGCGACAAATGCCAAAGATCCGCCCGAATGATCCACCAACCTGGTGAACAACTACATTCAGTTTCGTCACCATGGCCGTTCATAAAATGGGGGATGGACATCGTCAGACCTCTACCAGCGGTGCCAGGTAAAGCTAGATTTATTTTATTTATGACTCACTACTTCTCGAAATGGGTTGAAGCGGAGGCCTTCGAAAAAATAAGGGAAAGGAAGTCATCAATTTCATCTGGGACCACATCATATTTGCCGATTCGGAATTCCTTTCGAGATAACGTGTGATAACGGAAAGCAATTCATTGGAAGCAAAGTGACTCAGTTCCTCGAGGATCACAAGATTAAAAGGATCGTGTCAACACCCTATCACATGTGTACAAACGGCCAAGCTGAGTCCACGAATAAAACCATCGTCCAAAACTTAAAGAAGAAACTGGAAGGCGCAAAGGGAAGATGGAGAGAAATATTAATCGAAGTGCTATGCGCGTATCAAACAACTCCAAAAGCAAGCACGGGGGAAACGACTTTCTCTCTGGTATACGGCACCGAGGCTTTGATACCAGTCGAGGTCGGGGAACCCACCGCCAGAGTCCGACACCTCACCGAGGGCTCGAATAATGTGGCCATGGCTATTGCTCTCGATCTATTGGATGAAAAGCGAGAAGCCTCGCTGGTGCGAATAGCCGCGCAAAAATAGAAGATCGAAAGATACTACAATAGGAGAACAAAAATCCGACATTTCGGAAACGGGGACCTGGTCCTAAGGAAGGTTACCTTGAACACTCAAAACCCTAATGAAGGAAAGCTAGGTCAGAACTGGTAAAGACCGTACCGCGTCCTCGGGATAGTATACAAAGGGTCCTACAAACTAAGCACCATGGAAGGCGAACAGCTTCCAAGCAACTGGAATGTGTCAATGCTTAGTCGCTATTAGTGCTAAAAGCTCAAAGGCCTCAAAATTCCAAAAATCATACGTTGCACTCTTTTCCTTCTATCGGGTTTTTGTCCCAAGAAGGGTTTTACCGACAAGGTTTTTAACGAGGAAACATCTATATGCTACCCAAGGAAGACTCAACAAGTACTCAAGGCTTCTCTTCGATCAACCTCGAATACTAGGGGGCGTCCCCCTGGAAGGTCACCTACTCGGAGAAGCCAGGATGCACTAAATAGGGTCTCGATAGGAAAAGAATGTACTGGGCCAAATGGTGTAACGAACCGTGCCCGCATAGAATAACTGAGCCCTCAATAGCAAAGACATGTATACTTGTACCAAGTAATCAAAGAATACTTTTCAAACAGCATTTTGCTCTTCAAAGAAGCTTGGTATTATAGCAGAAACGGCTGCTTTGTCAAAAACGTCCCGAACACTCGGGGACTGGCATCAACAACTCGAAACAGTGTGCCCCCCCCCCCCCCCGGGACGGAGCTCCAAACTCGTAAGCCCTCGATGAGGCAACACAAAGATCACAAAACAACTCCAGAGCCAATAACGTCCCAAACACTCGGAGACTAGCGTCGAAAAACTCAAGGTCACATGACCCCCGGGTCAGAAAACTCCGAAATCGTAAGCCCTCAATGAGGCAACACCAAGTTTACAAGTAATGGCTCCCGAGCCAAAAAAAAGAAAAAAAAACCCCGATGACTTGAGGATTGTCGCCAATCGCCACCCCCAATTGACTTATCAAAACCCGAGGCCATAAGACCACATACGGCCGGCTTCAGTCTCGTAAGCCCTACATAAGGCAACAACAAAAACTGTAAGACCTCAAAGGCATGTAAAATCTGTAAGACCTCAAGCAAGGCATGAACCAAACTTGTACCAAGTGACAAAAACTGTAAGACCTCAAAGGCATGTAAAACTTGTAAGACCTTACTAAAGGCATAAACCTTATCTTAAAGTTAAGCCTATATATCGAACTTGTAAGACCACTAAAAAGGCATACCCTCGATATAGACGCCGAAACTACTTCACTCGTGAACTGAAAGGCTCCGGCCAAACACAATGACTATGGTCTCAAGGTTGTACCAGCCAAGCTAACGCGACTCGGGGACGCCCGACCGTCGCTATAAAATCACAGGCCTTCAATTACTTCGAATATACTTCGAAAAGAACCGGTTAAAAGGCTACCCTCGACACAGGCAAAAGAGCCAGGCTTTGAGATACTCAGCCTCCGAGTCAAACCTCCTGAGGTGCTCGATCATCGCCATATAATGGCTCAAAAATCGAGGTTTTATCAAACCGTCGAAGAGTCGGGCACACACAACTTCAAAAGTCCTTAACGAGGGAAAAATAAAGCCTATATTAGAGGTCGCATCGACCCAATGCGTAAGAGCCACTGTCGCCAGCCCATATAAAAGGTCGTACCAACCAAATACGTAAGAACCACTGTCGCCAGCTTACTTTAAAAGGCCGTACCGACCCGGCGCGTAAGAGCCTAAGGGCCAGCTTTAAATTTAAAATCTTGAGGGTCAAATGAGCTCGAGTCGAAACCCGACTCGGAGACTGAACCCGAAACAGTTAACTAAATATGCCTAAGGGCGAAAGCATAAGAGCCTAATACGCCAGCTAACATTAAAAGGTTATACCGAGTGAAGCACATAAGAGCCTACGTGCCAGCCTAATAAGCCCCAGGGCCATACTACGAATCTAGGGATTCCTTTTAACTCGAAGACTAGTTCTTCTTGCTGATGGCTAACAAACATCGAAAGGTACATGAAAAACGAAGTCGCAAGATTTCTTTTTGTACACATATGTGAAAGAATACAATTGCTTCATTCACAAAGTTCATTGAAAACACTACATACAAAATCAGAAAAGGAGAGGCTTAAACTACGCCCCCCCCCCCCCCTCGAGGACTACGGCCCGTCAGCCTATCTCTCGCCATCCTCGGCATCGGACAGAAGGGACTTAGCGTCATGTTCAGCCGCCTTTGCCTATTTCACCTCTTCCGAGAGGTCAAAACCCATAACATTGATCTCCTCGAGGGTTTCCCTTCGAGATTTGCACAGTGCATACTCCAAGATCCTGCTCTCGCCGTCAAGAACCCTTCTCAGCTTAGCTCGAGCATCGGCAACGTCCTTCAAATAGACCGCACCTTGTTGTCAGCTTTAGTTCGGCTCATTACGGCTTCGGCCTGGGCATCCACAACTTCAATGTTTATCTTCAAAAGCTCGGACTCAGGCTTTGTGACCATATCCGTTCGGAGCAAACTATTCTCACGAGCTAAGTGAAGTTGAACCTCGAGGGCGGAAGCTTTAGCCAAGGCACCTTTCTCCGCTATAGTATGAGCGTCCACCTGAGCCTTTAGCTCATCGCGCTCATGTTTGGCTTGGTCAACTTCACTCCTAAGGTGTTCCAAGTCTCCAGCCTTCTTCTTCAACTAAAATAAATGAAACATCAGCCTCAAGAATTGAAAAGGGAACATGCGCCCCATCTAGAGCAATAAGTACCTATTCCTCGAGGTAGGTTTTGTTGTTTAGGCTTCGACTCGCCTCGCACCGCAAGCGCGCCAACTCCTCTTCTCTCTCGTCGCAAAGAAGCCTAAGGGACTTCTCCCATCCATGGCTTTTTGCAGCATGGCCTCACGACGAAGCAGCTCGGACTTGAGCTTGTCAAAAGCCTATGAAAGAGAAACTCGACTAGAGAGTAAAAATTACAAAACTATAAAATCAACGCGGACGACAAAAAGCTCACCACGGAATAGAGCCGCTGAGCTTCCTCGAAAGTTGAGCGCACATCTACTAGTCCAGCTTCGTCTACCCCGGAAGAACCGCACCCGGTGGGGGCACGATTGCTCAGCATATGCGGCTCCTGGTTTCGAACATCCCTCGAAGTACCTTCGATGGGGGAAGACACATCCTCGCCGAGCCCCCGACCTGGACTCTTCTTGCTGTTAGCACCATCGCCCTGTGAAAGCCCTTTTTGCTTATTATTATCGCTCCATAGCCCAGAAGCTGGCGATCCTTCTCCCCCTCCAAGAGGGCACGATATCGCCCCAAAGGATTCCCCGATGCCTAAGATGATGGGGTTAGTACGCGTAAAAAGAAAGTGCACATAATGGAGCAAATCACAGAGTGCTTACCGCGGTGTTTGGCCTCCCATCTGCCCTTAGACAAAACTCGCCACTTACGCTTGTTATAAGTCGAGCAAGTCGCCATCTTCCGAGCCCAGTCCGTCAGGTCGGGGACCTCGCACGACGTCCATGAAATTGCTGCAGGAAGGGAAAAGAAGGCGCATTTACGAAACCTGCCTATGCCACATGCAAAACTACGAAGGCACAAGTATATCACTTACGTGTAAAATTCCATTCCTCAAGGAATGGCAGAAACTCCACGGGGATAATATCAACGGTCCGTACTCGGACGAATCGGCTTACCCACTCCCGAGCTCCATCTTCTACATCATCAACAACGAAAGGTGTGGTGGATCGGCATCGTAAGGTTAGTAGACCTTGAAGGTGAAAAGGCCGGTACAACTTGATAAGATGACTGGGCGTGAATTCAAGCCCTGCTTTCTCCGCAAAGGACCTCATCATCAACACTATCCGCCAAAACGATGGGTGAATGTGCGCCAAAGTAACCCGGTATTTTCGACTGAAGTCAAACACAACCCTATCAGGGGTCCTAGCGTGAAGGGGTACGTGTATACGTTCAAAAACCCCTCAGCATGATCCATGATGCTCTCTCCCGGGGAGAGTTCCCGCAGTACTACCTTCTCCCCCCATCCATAGTCTTTCCTCACTGACACAAGGTGCCCCTCTCCTACTAAAGAAATAAACTTCGAAACATACTCCCGACGGCCCCATCAATGTCTTTGAAAGACGTATCGACAGGCGCAATCAATGCATTTTTTGGGAACTGAATCGACGGCAATATTATCGCTTTGGAGAATAAGAATCGACAGTACATTGAATGACACTGAAAAGATGAACTGACGGGACGCCTCAGTTATCACAATGGCTTACGTCATAAGTATGACATCATTGCGGAAAATCTCGAAGAGATGGATATCAAAGTCATTTCTTATCATTCCACTCTAAGAAACGCGGGGACTATCTGTATGCGGTAAAATCGGAGGGTCCAATTTTCGGCCATTACAACGCAACGTAAGCAAGCTCTCCAAAGGCTCGAGACTACGATCGAGATTTACCCCGAGGGGCCATCGATGTCCAACCTTGAGACAGTGCAAGTCGACAATTATGATAAAATAGTGGGAAGTTCCCTAGGCGCACGATTAGAGCTGACAAAGTCTAGTAGTCTAGCTTTGACCCGTATCAGGACATCAAATTGCTGTACCATCCCCATATCTTTGTAATTATTGTATTTGTATTATGTTGGGATTCCACCCTCATATATAAAGGGGATCCTTGCCATTTTGTAGACATCTGATACTCAATATTCAATACAAGAACATTCTCTCTGCTCTCCAACTCAACATATTCTCTTGAACTCATTACTTCCATTTACTGCTTATATTCATTGTGTTATATTTGTTGTTCTTCATTTAATTCTTATCATTGATCATAAAGAGTCATCACCGTAGCTCTCATAAAGTGTTAGTCCTCCCTCGATCGTTTTAAGTCGGTCGCCCAACTCGACCCCGAGGCCTTATAAACGACAACTCGAGGCCCCAATCTCCAACTTTTTGATTCGATTATCATACCATCTCTAAGCTGCAATCTTGATTTCTAATCTTTT